TGAGTTTCTGAATTTTCTCCAGTGTTCTTGAGTGCAGGTGTTTCCCCAAGTTCTGCTTTCTTAAAAAGGGAGTCTTGGAAAGGAATATCAGAATCTTGCACTAGGAAACATGGCTTTAGTCTGTCTATTGAAATCTCTTTTTAACTTTTCCTTGGATTTCAATATCGAAAGTACTTATCCTTTCTTGCTCTTACAGGATACGGTCCAAGATAGATGGACAGGCTGTAGCGACGAATTATTAATGTTGTTGTATAGGAATACGTGAGAACAGTTGGAAAGACGTTTAGAAACAAAGACCGTTCTATTTCCATGGGTTTCGATGGTAGGACTTGGCTTCATAGCTCTTATTATTTTTTGAAGGTTTTGAGAAAATTTAGACTGTTTCATATGAGGTAATATTGAAAAGAAATCTCCTGGTAATGCTAACGTGGTTCCGTAAACAAGTTCTGGGGATGAGCAACCTAAGTTTTCCTTGACGGCAGATCGTATGCCTAAAAAAAAGAAAGGCAATGCTTCCAGCCATGGTTTTGATTCGAGTAGTGTTTGTATGAAAACCAAGATATTTTCCTAAAGCTTGAAAACGTTGGCTATCAAATTGCCGACCTTGGTCGGATGTTATGCGATTCGAAATTCCAAAGCGGGAAAACCAAGTATAAATCAAAGCATTAGCAATAGATTCTGCTGATTGATCTTCTAACGATACCGCTTCGATCCATCATATCTTCTAACCATCATCGATTGTCATGTATAACAATCGATGATGGTTAGAAGATATTTGAATCCTTTACAAGGAGGTAGCGGACGGACCACCAGATCTACTCGTATGTTTAAATGCTGGAATCTGTGTGGAGGTACTTTGAATTCTCCCAAAGATGACTGTGTATGTCTGTGAACTTTAGATCTTTGGCAAGATAAACATGCTCTAGTCCATAGTTGGCAGTCTTTATTCATATTGGGCCATATGAAACGTCGTGTTATCAATTTTATCGTGGATCTTATTCCAGGATGAGATAAATTATGGATTGAAGAAAATATTTTCTGCCGAAACTTTGCAGGGATGTATGGTCGATTATAATTTGTAGAAGTATCACAGTAAATTTTCTTGTCGCTGTCCGGTATAGGGATCTGTAGGATTTTTAAGTTTGGGTTGTTTTTTAGTATCTCCAAGTCGTCATCTTCTTGACAGTCTACTATAGTTTGTAAGTCTATTGCAGATGGTACAGAAATGGTGTCTATGCGAGAGAGAGCGTCAGCGACGGTATTTTCATGCCCTTGTATGAATCGGATATCGGTTGAGAACTGGCCAATATATGACAGTTGTCTAGCTTGTCGTGGCGAAGCTTTTTCCAAATTTTGTTGGAAGGCAAATGTTAGTGGTTTGTGATCCGTGTATATTGCAAAAGTTCGCCCTTCTAAGATGTATTTGAAATGTTTTACTGCTGTATAGATGGCTAAGAGTTCTCTGTCGTAGGCACTATATTTTTGTTGTGCTGATGTCAAATTTCGGGAAAAGAAACTTAAGGGTTGTTTTTCATTATTCACAATCTGATGTAAAACGGCTCCAATGGCAGTATCGGAAGCATCAGTTGTTAGCGATATTTCAGCCTTTTCGGATGGGTGAGTTAAGTTTGTGGCATGAATAAGTGCATCTTTTAAGATCTGGAAGGCGTTTCTTGTTTCTGCCGTCCAGGTTATTTCTTTTCTGCAGTTCTTTTTAATACCACTGAGCAATGTTGTTAAAGGTTGTTGCAGTTTCGAACAATTTGGTATGACTCTGTGATAAAAATTCACCATACCTAAAAATCGTCTTAAATTAAAGTCTTAGTAAATGACTTTGGTCTTTAGTAAATGACTTTGGTTCTGGGAAATTTTCAACTTTCGTTGAAAGAGGTTTAAGTTCTTCAGCTGACACTTCGTATCCCAGGAATGCAAGTTTTGTTTGACCGAATTTACACTTTGCCGCATTAATACACAGGCCATATTGATTTAGTCTCTCGAGGACTGCTCTCGTATGATGTTTTTGGATGAGTTTCTTCATCTGGAGAGGCTATTAGAATGTCATCCAAATAGCAAAACACGAATTCTAGTCCATTCAACACACTGTTCATGAAACGTTGGAACGTTTGGGCCGCATTTCGTAGGCCGAACGTCATGAATGGGAACTCGAATAAGCCAAAGGGAGTGAGAATGGCCGTTTTCGGTATATCTTCTTCGCGAACTGGAATTTGTTGGTACGCTCTAATGAGGTCTATGGATGAGAAAACTCTTTTTCCAGCTAAAATGGAACTGCAATCTGTTAAAAAGAGGGTATCTATCAGAATCGTGACGTTGTTTAACGCTCGATAGTCTCCACAAGGTCTCCAATCACCTGATTTCTTCATAGCGAGATGTAGTGGGCTCGACCAGTTACTTTTGGACCTGCATAAACCCATTTGGAGCATAAATTCAAACTCCTTTTTAGCCGCTTTAAGTTTCTCAGCTGATAGTCTCCTGGCTTTAGCGAAAACTGGTGGACCTCTGGTTTCGATATAATGTTCGATGTTATGTTATGATTTTTAACTTTATTATTAACTACATTCAGTTTTAACAAATCCGGAAAATCGTTAATGATACGTTTATATGGATCATTTACGGCATTTAAAATCGGAATATTATTATTGTTATTTTGAAAACAAGGAGTTCCATTGGTTGTTAAGAATGTAGTACCATCAATCAACTTGCGATTTTTAGAATCTACCAAAAGGTTAAAATTTGCAAGAAAATCCATGCCTATTATCGGTTTGTTTACGTCCGCAATTACAAAAGGCCATGTGAATGATCGTCTGAGTCCAAGATCAAGCTTGAGTAATTTTTGGCCATATGTTTTAATTTTCGTACCATTTGCAGCAAAGAGTTCTAATTTTGAGATTTTTTTTTTTATCTGCAGGCAAGGGAGGAATGACAGAAATTTCTGCCCCAGTATCTATTAAAAATTGGGTAGCCGATTCTTTGTCGCTGATGAAAAGACGACTCAGCTGCACCCCTTGTCCCTCCGTCGTCAATGAGAGACGGGGGGGGGAGCTGGTTTTCCGGACTATTTGTCTGTGATTTTGATGAGAAGTTGCACGGTTGTTTACACTTAAATGACTCATTACCGCATTTTTTATGGTAGTAACAAATATCAATAGATCTGTTACCACTGTAAATCCTATCTTTTGATTTCGATCGGTTACGACAATAGGGACGACTGTGACGTTGCTTGGATAAAGCAGAAACTTGTAAGCAGGTCACTTCCGTTTTTACCGTTATGGATGAAGCAGCAGCTATTTGTGGAGTAACAGGTTAAAGAAAGCCAGAAGACTTGTAAGCTAAGTTCACTAACCTGTTTTTGTAAACTTTCAATCATTTCCGTTTTTACAGTTATGGATGAAGCAGTAGCTATTTGGGGAGTACTAGGTATTTAATTCCCAAATTTTATCGGCCATTGTAGCCACTTTTGACAAATCTTCACTACTAACAGATATAATGCTACGCATATTAACGGGTAAAACGTTGTAGCCACAATGTTTTTAGGAAAGTATCTGTTACTTTATCGCCAGCCAAATTACGCATCTCACATAGCAATTGAGATGGCTTTTTGTCACCCAGTTCTAACTCACTCAGTAATTTTTGGGTTTTTTGAGTCTCTGAATCAGCATATAATGAAATTAGTCTATTTTTAATTGCCTCATATTTATTATCTTGTGGTGGACTTAGCAAAATATCAGATACCTGTGACAAAATATCGGGTTCAATGGAACTTATAACATAATCATATTTTGTTTGATCTGCACTAATTTTTGCATTTCTAAATTGTGCTTCTAGTTGAATAAACCATATTTTAGGATCTGGCTTCCAAAAAGGAGGAACTTTAACGCTTACCTTGGCGACAGATGCAGTTTGCTTTGTTGTTTTAATTTCGGTTTCGTCTTCGTCAGCCATTGTAGAATTCGATCACACCGGGATACACCAGTGAAGTGTCTCGTATGCGAATGTAGGAAAATAACACTTCTCTGACCCCAATGGAATCAATATTTTATTCCTTACAAGATTATATATACTTATTCATAATATTTGTTTACATTTTACATGCACATTAAATCGCATGTTTTTTATGGAGACAAGAAAAAAGTGTTGCCATTCCGCTTTAACTATACTTAATTAGAAACTTGACGAAACTGAAGCGACGCTACAACCTGTGAATCATCACTTTTCGCTTAGTCAGTCCTAGCCATTTTTCCATTTTGAAAATCTAGGTTTGTTTTATTATTTTTAACAAATATTTAAATGTGCATTATATTACGAGTTCTTCAAAAACAAACAACGATATTCTCAAATCGCATAAAAAAGTAAGTACAAAACAGCAAGAACAGAAATTACCTGCTGTTAGAGACAACAAATCGATGTAAAAAAAATTATTCTAATTGAAAATCGAACAATATGAGCTTGGAAATAGTGGCGAATAAAGTATAGACATGCTAATAATTCTATCAACTCTAAAAGAACTAATGAGATACTATCTTTTTAGAGGAACTCATTTTTGTTTCCTATTAAATACAACATAAATTTCTATTACTCCTTTGAAAAACATCCCTTATGACAAATTTTGCTATGTTTATGGCTAAAAGAATATTTTTGATAATAAAAACAGATTATTTTGCTAAAGTCTATGAGCGGCTATTGACCTTGAACAAAGCTCAGATCGCATAAATTTACGAGTGTTAGTGAAAAAAATTTAAACAGGATGTTGGGGTATCTAATATTTGAATTAAATAGTTAAAAATACTTTCTTTCTTTGCGTACTTCCTATTTTTTCTCTTGCGTATTAACGGTTGAGAATCGCTAGTTAGGGAAACACATACGCATAAACTTTATTCAGAGAAAGGCCGAGTGAATTCCCAAACCGGTTGATCCATCTATTATTTAATTCGGAGTGGATTGTACTTTCGACCCGGTAGATGGCGCCATGTCACGGTTCGTTCACAGCTGTTCGGAATGTGTTTTGTACCGTAATTTCTTATCATTGCAGGATATTGCGAATTTGTGTGAAAATTTTTCACTTTGCTGTATAGTAAAGAATGGAAAAGAGAGACATTTTCACCTCAAATCATAAAAAAATTACTGTCACTGAAACTTTATTGATCGTCGTCCGAATCCAGGAAAAGAGCTTGTAGGCGTTGGCTTTAAAAGTAAGTTTGTACGCGATATATATGTTCATACTAATTCAGAAGTCAAACAACAAAAATCAGCGTTATATTTTCAAATTTTGTTTTGTTGTTTGACCTTTGAATTAGTATTTGTTCGGCGTGTTATTGTATCTTAATATGTTCATAGTTTAAATATTATTGTGGATATAAAGAAACGTCTCTTTCTAGAAATATATTATGTCATCTTATATTCCTTCAAATGTAATTCGAAAACTGTATTTCTATATGTATGTCATTACTTCGTATGCAAAACATAGCATTTGCGTACAACATATTTGGACAAAGTTTTCCAGTTATACTGGTAATTGCGTTGTTTATAAATATAATGTGTAACTGTTATTCTTCAGAGAAGGAAACCAAATTGCTAAAATATCACATTTTTTTTTTTTTTTAAATCGCCAGAGAATTACGAATGTGCTGTTTCTTTTTCCTCTACTTTTTTCTCCTTTGCTTAATAAAATTAATAAAAGTCATACCCAACTATCACTATCTTGAACTTCAGTTTTATTCTGATTAATAAAGAAGTTAGGTATGGTATTTTGTAGTTCTGATATTGCAGTTTTGCATTAGATACTTGCTGATATAGGAGGCTGTATCAGTAAGAGCAATTTTATTAATCACGTTACCTTAGAAGTAGTAACAATGGTCAAGTTACTAAGTACATAAACAAAAAGTGTCAAAGACGAAATGTCTGTAATTTGACATGAATTGTGGAATAGGTTTTCCTCCGAGAAAAATTAATTTTTCATATTTTTAGCAGACTTCTTTTAAAATTTGTTTTTGTAATTATTTATTCAATATTCGGTAGATTTTTTGGAGAAAGTGCAGAATCGGCTACTGCTTGACGCGGTTTTAAAAATTGCACATACTCGGTATCCATGTACACATCGACCTATTTTCACTTAAAACATCCCAGAATTACACAAAAATGGCATTGTGCACTCCCTTGACTTTATCCATGTACACATCGACCTATTTTCACATAAAAAGTCAAAGAAAATTGACAAAAATCCAATTCTTCTTACTCTTGTAAGAAGCGCCAAACAAATAAGTGGGCTATTCTGCACATTAGCCGATTTTTTTTATTTATCTGATGGAAGCATTAACGTAACATGTTTTTGTGAAAAGTGTTGAAAGTAAAATATTACATTATTGGCTTAAGTATTTATTTATATAACATTTTTATCGTACATGTAAACCTTAATAGCTATATATTAGTCTTAGGATTAGTATTGGAATAAGCTATATATATATCAAGAAATATTTAAAATATTTTGTAAAAAAAAAGAGTATTGGTTTGTATGGAATTTAATATAAAGTTTTTGTTTGCACCAAAAGGAAAACGAGAAGTTATGTTAGATGAATAAGAGATTAATTTTAAGATATTTTGATAAATTTAATTCTGTAAAATCGTAATTAAATCAAGTAAATAATAGATTAGTTTTTAAACTTTTCCTTTTCAATAAATTCTATTTTGTAAAATATAAAGAAGTGTCCTTGGTAAAGAAACTGAATTTTGAGCTTTATATTAGCTCTGATTTTGCAACGAAGAGGTGTTCAAATCTATTCAATGGTACTAAAGTTTCCTTTCTTGGAAAAAAATTGAAAAAAATCTGTGCTGAACGTACTAAAAATGTAATTTTATGCTTAAGATTCTGTAAAATAATTACAGGTTACTAGTATTTGACTGGAGTTGGAAATTATCGCTAGGTAAGCGTTTCCATGGTTTTGTCTGTATACGCCCTCCTGATTGAATTATTTCAATTCAAAACTTCCTTTTTGCCATAAGATAGGGTAAGTGATAAAAAGTATTCACTTTCTGTGTTAGATGTGACGCTATTATTTGTATGTCTGAAAAGTAAAATGCTTTCACAAACGATTACTATCATTTCCACGTTTCTAAAATAAAAATTTTAGTGAACACGCTTAAAAGCCTGTTTTGTTTACTCTCCTTGGTTATTATTTTCAGTTTTTCATTCTAAAGTGAATTTCAAACCTGTTAGAAAATCCATGCTTTTTAGTTTATAGTTTTGCTTCTCTGTAAATTTTCGTGTAATGCCTCATTGCTTTTGATTACACGAGGCATGTCACTTCAGTCTGTTAATGAGAATGCATGAATATTCAAAAAAAAAAAAAAAAAAATAGTTAACTAATTTGTGCCGCGTTAATCGATCTGGCCCTATCTTAACAACAATTGTTCTCGTACACTACCTTTTTTTCTGTGTCCAGCAGACGAGGCAGAGTACATTCTTGTCTAATTTTTGAACTTGGGAAGTCACATTACTGCATTTTCGTACTCGCCTTATCCTCCTTGTTCCTTTGCTCGGTTGTTTTATGTGACGATACTGTTAACGAGACGGGCAGTAAGCTGTTATTGCAAAAACTTTCTCTTTGCTTGTACTCACTCATGTTAGACATGAAGAAATTCCCATACTGTTGACCTATTCTGTTGCATGGAATCTGACCTACGACGAACTAACAATAGGGGGCATACTTTTCAAAATGCCACAATAATCTTAAATCTATTAAACTTTAAAGAGAGATAATATTATTTACCTGATTTGAACAGTATTTCACAGGTTATTAGTGCACTTTTATTAAATTCTCAGAAATGAAATTCGTAGTTTTGCAAATTTTGTATTCAACTATTTATTAAAGTGTACTGGAGTTTGGGAATTTTAAAGTGCATAGAATATTTTTTTTTACTTGGCGAAAATTGACGGTACATAAATTTTATGCTGAACAGCCTATTTGAACTGCGCTCTAAAAAACTGCACTTAGTTAGAACTCACATTCCAGCAATACTAAAAGTTTTTTTTATTGTGCATTATTATTAGGGTTAAATTGCATTATTATTAGGCGTTCATTTTTAATAAATAAGTTAATATAAAAATTATGAATTTAATTCTGAAATGTTGTGGATAGTATGGTGGTTAGAAATGGCTAACTACACATGCCGTTGTATCTCGGTTCGAATCATGTGCAGGGCAAGGACGTTTGCGATTGGAGTAAGCCGAATGGGAAAATTTTAAATATGTCTATCAGAATACTGAACAGATTTATTTTAGAGTTTTGGGGACCGAGCTCTTGAACTCCGAGAGGATTTTATCACTTATTCGGACTCGATACTTGGATTTAGACTCAACGAGTCATACCCATGTCCTTTGCACACTTTTATTATTCGTATAAAGTTTGACAGAAATGGGATTTTATTTCTGTTCATGGCTGAATTAGAGATGAAACAGTGATTCTTCCCGTTGCCTCCGGAATATACAGTGAGTCCCAAAATTGAGGGTACACTCCATTCTACGACAGAATTCATGTTTAGAATGAAAACAAAAACTGTCAGATAAAGACAGTCACCAAAACCTTTAGACGAGGATATAGAAAGATATCTAATCTTAATATTTATTCATGAATAGACATAAAAAAATGCATGAAATACAGAAACAAAATGTACAACAGAAATCGTCAAAAATCTGAGCTCACAAAATTGAGGGTACATGTAATTATTTATTACATAAATTATAAAAAACAACACATTAATATTTTGTCGCATACCCACTGGCTTTGATGACAGCTTCCAGCCGCCGGGACATCGAATCGACAAGATTTTTCGTAATTTCGAGTGAAATGTTTTCCCACTTCACTTTTAGTACATGCTTCAAATGTTCTTTACTTGTGATCTGATGTTTTCGGACCTCTTTTTCAAGGTGGGACCACAAATTTTCGATCACGTTCAAATCAGGGCGTTGAGGGGGTGTGTTCAGCTGATTTCGGCAGTGATACAGCAACCATTCTTTGACAGTATTTTGCTGTATGCTTTGGATCATTATCCTTGTTGAAATGTGAATTTTGATCCTAGTCCCAATTGAGTAGCATTGTCCTTCAAATTATTTTTCAATATATTAAGATAACCTGTTTTATCCATTATTCCATCAATAAACACTAGCTTTCCAATTCCCGATGATGCCATACAGCCCCAAACCATTACTGACCCACCTCCATGCCTTCACAGTTGGAATTGTGTTTCTTGGATCTAAAGCTGAATTTCTTCTTGCGCCATACCACACGATGACCGTCACTGCCAAAAACATTAAATTTACTCTCATCGCTGAAAATAACATCATTCCAGAACTCTTTAGGCTTTAGAATGTGCTCTTTAGCAAATTTTAATCTGTTTAGCTCTATTTATTTTACTAATGAAATACAGAAACAAAATGTACAACAGAAATCGTCAAAAATCTGAGCTCACAAAATTGAGGGTACATGTAATTGTTTTATTACATAAATTATAAAAAAACAACACATTAATATTTTGTAGCATACCCACTGGCTTTGATGACAGCTTCCAGCCGCCGGGACATGAGACCTTTTCTGCCATTATAACCAGCCCTTCTGAGGATTCTGCGCACTGTTTCTGCAGAAACAGATTTACCCACAGTTTCCGAAGTACTTGCGGCAATTTTGGGGGCACTTATTGATCAATCCTTACCTTGTGTACAGTTCTCCTCTCTGCTGCTGAACTGAGAATTTTCTTCCTGCCTCTCCCTGCTTGGTTTTCCAGCGTACCATCCTTTCTAAATTTTTGAATGATTTTTCTAATACAATTTACACTTCTTCCAAGTATTTCTCCTATTTTTCTCAAAGATTTGCATTGATTAGACAGATTAATGTCCAGTTTTCTTTCCTCAATCGTCGTTTCTTTCCTATTCTCCATAATATTTGTCACACAGAAAGGTAGTAAGTAAGCTCAAATTTGAAATATTTGGATACTAAAAGGTTGTATTTTTGTATACTAAATCTTAGGTACAAATTATTTTAAAATTTTACTGGTAGTTTTACACAGTCATTTAAGAAGTGTACTCTCAATTTTGTGACTTTCAGAAGTTGAAGATTTTCGTTTTTAAGTAAAATATAGTATTTTTTTAACGGAGTATTATAACTTATTTTTTGTGTAGTTAGAAGAAAAATGTTATTTT